ATTTCAGCTAGTCAGTCAGTCAGTCACTTTTCTTCCACACGGGTATGTCGGTGGCAAGAAGGAAAACGTTAATGGGAAATTATTACATAAAACGCTAATTTTTCATTGAATGATACTGTGTTGTTTGCTCTTTGAAAAATGGATAGTACACTTTTGCAATGGACAAAAAGGACCCATGTGTTGTAAAATGTTGGATATCAAAAATGTAATTAAACGTAGAACTAAATGTATCCGTTATGCAAACTATCGTTCATTTTTTTCGTATCCACATGAAAAAAGCGCATTCATTAAATTGGAACTCATACATATATGCTTACTTAGATTGTATTTCAAAGTACATATTTCATACGTAGCTAATTAGTTATATTTTCAGTTTGTATCTTTGTCAAAGTAAGGCAAGTGCTACTTTAAAATGTTGCCAAGAGCTCATAATAATCATTTTCAGAGATGAATTATTATTTGAATGTCAGCACTTTATTTCTGTTATTTGTTGTAATTATAGCTGAGTTTCAAATGCGCGAATTCACAATATGAAGCCAAACCGGATCGAAATTCAAGTGAGCTCGTTTTTGCTCGTTCTTTCACTTGTGAGCTGTCACGGGACTTTATTGAACACACAATCCTTACTTCACATCGCTTATTATTATTTTCCTCTCTGACTGCTTCTGGTTTTATTTATAAACTCGTCCTACACACAACAATTGACTTTTTTTTACATTATCAAAAGCAGTTTGCTTCACCAAAAAAACTCAGATGTCATCTCATAAAATATTCAATATTTAAATTCCGATGTAATAAGAAAGGGAAGTTTGTACCCTAAATATATTGCAAAGAAAAAAAAATGCCAGAACAATGAATATTCAATCGATGTTCAAAATTGCATAATCGCATGGCAACATGACGCCTGTAGCAAAAGAACGCTGGAAAATGCATAAACACTATGAATTGAAACATGTCGGCATCGAATTATAAATAGACTTGTATCCGACAATTATAATATACATCTAATACTATTGGCTGAAGAAAGTTTTTTGTATTCACTAGACTATACATGCTATTATTCGCATTCGCGATATGTTCTTAAACGGGACACGATCCTTTGACCTTTAACTTAATTTCTCGTCATTTTAAAGTAAATAACACTACAAGTGACATGAAATGTGTAACAAAATAAAAACCAAATAAAAAAAGTGTGGGGCCAGTGCTTGTGAATGTGTCTATAACTGAAATAACGTGAACTTTTTTATGGTTCAGTATGATGACAAATATTTTGTAAACAATGCTTTCGAAAATAAACAAACAACCACATGGTTACTAAAAATAACAGGGACGACAGAAAATTAGTATATGCTAAAAAAGAGAATTTCCGGTCATCTACCACTACAAAATTATTCCCAAAAAACTGATTTTGTGGATACATTTTTTTTGATGTGTTTTCCAACAGCAGGCGAAAAAGAGTCTCACTATGATTAAACACAAAAAAATGTAAGCAACCCGTATATTCAAATGTTTTACATTTGGTGAATTATTGATGCGGTAAATATTTGTTTCCAATTCGAAATAAAATATCAACGATTTAAATGATTTTTTTCAAACATTTCTATTTATTTTTTTCCTCTCACCAGTAGTAGTCCAAATATGGAATATGTCACCGAAAATCTATCAGACCATTTCAATAAAAACTGCCTGAATTTGGCTTTTCGGATTTAAATTCTATCTTTTTATGTTATTTATAGCAATTTTATTCAATTTAATTTGAAACTTTTGATGGCTTGTTTGTCATGTTTCATTCATCAGAATCATTTTGAATGTGCGTTAGTTTGCTTTTTGTCTCAATTCAATCCTATTTTTTAATGCAAAAAAAATCATTTTTTTACATTTTTTATGCTAGCCTGAAATGTCAGCAAAAATTACATTTTTTAATACATGAATTGAGTTGGTGAATAATTGCAACCTATCAATTCTGGTCGAAGTTTGATTCTTATCAGAAACGTTTGTAACCGGAAAATTTTCGTTTTGATTTATAAAGAATCAAATGTATAACAATTGATTATAATTTTTCACTTTCATTGAAAATATTTAAAAAATCAATAGATTATGAAATCCTTTTCATGTTGAAGTTTTATCAAAGAATCGTTATCGAAGGAAGCGCAATTCGATTTAAAAACGCACTGTTAAATAGTGCGTTTGTAAAAATAGTGACAGTGTTTTGATGTGAAAACTGCACAGTTTTTCAAAAAATTTAAGCATAATTAGTTATATTGACATGGTTGTGCTAGTAAAACGTTGACATAAATAAATAAATCTTGTTGCAAATTAAAAAACTGTGAATAAAGATTCAAAACACATACATCGAAATTTTGCTGTATGACGTTAATGATGATTCATGTGGATCATAGACGATTGAGAAATTAAGATCTGCGTCGCTGTTTGCATCAAAAGTATGCGTACACAAATTGGCACACAACATTTCTATGGCACCAAGAGAGAAAGAGAATACAAGGGATTCTGCTGCAGTCGCCGCTTGATCTTTTATCGTTTTGTTGTTGCTATAATATAATTTATTTTATTCCATTTTTGCCAGTGGTATATGCGTTATATATGTGCTTTGCATGTGCGATTTCTGAAAGTCGTCGCATTTGAATGGCACATACAAAAACCACATATACACAGCTATTGGCGTGTATAAATCTTTATAAGATTTAATATTTTGTGCGCAAATATGAAAAAAGACGATTAGATTCTCCGTACGCATATTCAGTGAAAAAAAAAGTCACACAGCTGACGCTAGTTGAATGGCAACGAAATCAAAAGTGGCAGAAGAAAAAAAATACAAAGCCGAATGGAAATAAAATACTCAGCAGTTGGCGAATTGAAAATGAAATGTTGTGATACGATTTTACCGTCGTCATCATCGTTGGAGGCTGAAGAAAAAATGCTCACAGGCGCGCACCCATAAACATCCATCCACCGAAATTACATCCATTAAATTATTTTACGTGGAAGGAAAACTCACGTACCGAAAACATTTCGTCTTACAGTGTGTTACAACCGACGGAATTTAAGCGATTCTGAAAACAATGTGGTGGAATATTCACAGAATGAACGAAGTTGCAACAGGAAATGTTCCTTTATTATAATCATATGTTTTGATTTAAAGACGTTGCTTCGTCTGTTCAGGACCAGTTTTTTTTATAAAACTCTTAAAGAAAATCTTAACAATCCAATGAAAAGATTTTTTTTTTGCTTTGGGATAACTTTTGCTGTAATTGGATTGAAATAATACCGTTGCCGTAGAAGTTTACGATTCTTTTTTCATTACGTTGATATGGTATCATTTCATTTTACAATTGAACATAATTATCATTCGACATTCTTCCAACTTCATTCTTTCGCAAATTATTATGATTAAGTAAGTGTATTTGGAAACTCGAGTAACGCTGTCGTAATAATTCAAAATAAAAAAATGACCTACGGAAATCTACATTGAGAAAAATCCATGTCAAATTAAAAAATCTTTCTGATTATTTTAATGACATGTGATACGCATACTTCCAAAAGGTTATATGTTGTTGAAAAATGGTATAGCCGAAAAAAATAATCTTGTATATAGGTTTAAGCATTGTTTTATTGATATTATCTTTTCATTCTACCCTCCTCCAAAATCTTTTAAATAAACAGGTAAATGTTATCTGCCTTTAAAAAAATCATCGAACAGCATGAAAAAAATATTATTTCAACAATATTTTTAAACTGTTGAAACGCCTTCGTTATCATTAACGAAATTGAAATGTAAATATCGCTGCATGGTTATTAAAAGTTAGATGAATATTTCACAAAATGTTTTTATGTTTAATAATAATGGAATGATGTACAAAATACAAATAGAAAAATTTACTTTTATGCAACATTTATGTAACGGGGATTTTTTTTTATTACATTGTAATTTGCCATCATTTGAATGTGTCAGAATAAAAATCCGACTTGTACGCAGAGTCTATAAAAGTGGAACACAGAGTTTTTTTTTACATAGAATTGGTGTTGTATTGCAACAAATAAACTATGCAAAAAAAACTCTTTGTTCCACTTTTATAGACTCTGCGTACAAGTCGGATTTTTATTCTGACACATTCATTTTTTCTATATCGATATCGTTGAAATATCATCTTATCATCATATACTTTATAAGATATAATATGTACAATAGAGTGTTTCCCATATCTATAATTAAAAAAATGGTATGTTTCAATTTAAAGAGGGTCAAATTTCATGCCAATTGATAGCAATCACAAAACATAGAGATTGGTATTACGACTTCCCGAAGCGGACTGTTGAGTCATGCGTAATTTCGTACACCTCTAGTTATATAAAGTCGTGTAGGCTCCAAATGGGAAATTCAAAATAAACAAACATAAACATAGCGTTGCCGAACTAATGAAATAATAATAAATATTCTGAACAACATCGGAAAATGTACATACATTTTTATTTTTGTTAACGGCCAAATTTCAAAAGTCCATCAATACTGCGATGACATTTCGCAGTTTCAATTTTGTTTATATCAAATGAGCGTTGTGTTTACTGTTTCAAATCAACAAAGTATTGCGTTTTGTATGCTAATATTTTTCTCCTATAATTTCATCATCTCACTCACACACATACATGTGACTACTAGTCACTGACTAGCATCGTCAAAAGGCAAGCAATATGTATCCGTTTGTTTGAATATCAAATACCATTGATTCGATTGTACATAATACATTGCTGACTGTCTCGTTTTTTGACCGTTCGTTGACAGTCAACGTTCCAGTTTCATTTACATCAAACTTGAGACAACTCTTTCGATAGTGTTCAGTTTGTCATCTGAATGTGCAAAAGAACACAACAATTATAATCAATAAATTCCACTACTGTATTTCGAGTCAAGAAAATGTTTTGTTTGCAATAATAATGCATTCTATTGTCATTTTTCCGTTAATTTTGTATTTGGTTCTGCTTTATAAAATGGAGGGCAGAATATTTGCAAAACAATATGGTAATATTTCAACACTTTTCGATCTTTTTGAGTATTTGAACCGTTCGCCATCTGAATTTCGCAACAAGACGAAAATTCAGACATCAGTTATGTCGCTGAGTTCATCAAAGTAAGATCATTTTGAAGTTTGAATTTTTGTGTGCATATTTATCTCTTCTCTATTCCGCAATTAGATTCATTTGAACATTCATTTTATAGTGTTTTTGTGCCAATTGAATTGAACTGATTGCTGCACTCGGAATTGAGTTAAAGTGAGTTAGACATTTATTTTATTGTGCTCTCAAAGAAAAAAAAAAAAAACAATAGAAAGTCATTGTGTTCAGTAGCATTTTTTTATGTCGTATCGAAAAAATTTATTCTTCATTGCAATTGCATTAAAATTCTATTTTTAGAATTCGATATTGACAATGAGCGGACGAAAAAGAAAAGGAGTTGGTGCTATATGTGGATCGAGACCGAAAAGACGTAAAGTGGGCAAACTTCCAGAAGAAAGTGGATTGTTAGCCATAAAGGTATCCGCCGCAACGGCAGTCAAAGAGGAATATCACGATATTGTGCTGCCATGGATTGCGAAGAAGAGTATCGAGTGTACAAAAATCTGTGAGCTGGCGTCGCTTTTGTTTTTACACAAAGTGAAACTTGCCAATGAAGAGGCCATTTTGACGAACAACTGGAAATTTTTCGATGAAGGTGATGGTATCCACATAATTGAAGGATGCTTCTTTGCTGTGTTGCGCAAATATAAAGAAGAGAACGACATGGTGCCCGAATTTCGAGACATAGTCGAGGTTCGCATGGCCCAATAATGATTATTTTGGGAATCTTATGAGATATTCATTCCAACAACATGCACGAAATGCCATAACCAACCTCACCACACACGATGACAAACGACTTCGTGAGTACCTGAGATTGTTGGTGTGGGAACACAACGTTGACAATCTGGATCCAAACGACGTATTTGATGAACATGATGTCAACAATGCAGTGAAGTGGGCCATTGAAAGATACGATTCAACCAGAGGTGATGCGATTAGATTGGACAAACGGAATCGGTTGCTCACTTGTGTGCGAAATATTGGCGGACCAAAAGACGACAACATCGCAAAAGATACAAAAGAGAATTGGTTCGCGACGTTGCCAATGTGGCTTCACATGCAAAAAAAGATCGATGATTATCACAATTGGGTACAAAACAACCTCGAAAATATTCCGGCTGACATTGAGCTTCCCATAATCAAAAATCTTTCAGTATTACCAATTTGCACACATTTGCGAAAGAATATTAAAATTGATGCCGATATATTGTATCGAATGATGTGTGAAACCAAAATCATCCCGTTAGATGAGTATGGACGCCAAGTTGATGTTACACATGTCTGTGAAAACAAGGTTCATTATTTCAATGAGATTTTCGACATGAACAAAATCAATGGAATATTGAACGCGAACAAAGAATTTCATTATCATGTTGTAACCGATGGTGTGTCAGCATCGATTTTATACGACGTATCGCGAAATACATTGGAACAGTTGGTGAGCGATGAACTCATAAAAAAGCGTTACGAAGATGGCGTTTACATCTACGAATTGGGAATCGATCCGGGCATGAAAACGTGGAACGCGACCGTTAGACGGCATATCGACTCCGGCAAAGAGGTATGTGTTTGTGATTTCTCAGTATGCATTTCATTTCATCGTGTGATTTATTCCATTCATTTTCTCTCCCTCTCTCTCTCTCTCTCTCTCTCTCTCTCTCTCTCTCTGACACACACACACACACACAGATGAATTTCAAGACCAGCAGTAAGAAATATCATTACCTGACGAAGCAAGGAGTACGAAACCGAAAAGCGAAGCGGTGGACACGTGGGTTTGTCGCCTTTGAACAAAACGATCGAAATGACAGAACCCGTTATCCGCAAATGCCGAGTCCAAAAGGAGAAAATTGGAGAGACTATATAAGTCATCGCTTGAGGATTATGAAGAAAGCCATTGACGTGTATACGAGCGAAAGATACACCCGTCTACGATTTGATAAATATATCGAATCGAATCGAGTATGTGACAAGATTGCTGCCATGCTGGTAAGAACAAAACATAGATCATTTGTTGAATATATTTGATTTGTTAATAAGAAAAATATATTCTTGTGTCCAAATAGACAAATGGTAAGCCTTGCATAATTTTCTTGGGAGCGGCGAATATCTCACCCAACTCGCCGATAAAGATTAAAAAGAACATTCGCTGCCCTGGTAACCGGAAGCTGATTAAAAGTTTTAAGAAAATGCTGGGCAACGTGGTGAAAATGGTGAATGAGTTCCGAACGTCTCGACTGTGTGCACGCTGCTTCGAGCCATTTCCTTTGGAAACATTGGGTCATCGTTTCAAAGTGTGCGAATGGTGTGTGCCAGATAACAACGACTGGCCAGAAGGATTGAAACTACCCGAAAAAATCGTGACGATGAAGAGCAAACGAATGCTGCTATCGGAACGACAAGAATTGCGCGATGCAATGGTTGCGAATCCAAATCAAGCTGTTGGTTTTGTGTCAAAGGTCATTTGTTACCGAAAAAACTGGCGACAAAACGCGGCATACGATGCGGTTAACAACGTTGCTCAGCTACCAGGCATTATTCGCGACGAAAATGTCATCGATTTTACAGAGGATTACATGCTTCTTGATGATGACTTCTATGTCGCCGAAGAGGAAGCCATCCTGAACACTATTTGGCACCGGGACATTGCAGCTGCAAAGCTGATAATGTACAAAGGTAATTTATTCATTGAATTAAAATTGGATTCCGAATGAGAAAGTGATTGAAATTGAAGCATATAATACTATTTTGTTTTAATTAACAAATTTATGTGTGTTTTCTCTTTGTTGTCAAGGCCATTGTGGACTTTTCGGATTTGAGCTGCATCGTAACTTCACCGTTGAACGCCTCGTCTATCCAAGATGGATTCGAATCCACTAACGAGATAGAATTAAGATCGATGAATTTAAAATTTGAAACTAATTAATGTAATAGGATATTATATGTAGCTGGGTCGATTTAGTGACCCAGGTTCTATCGATAGAATTTAGAGGAAAGAATATGTATAGGTTGTTCTCTATCTATTCTATTTGATGTTCATAGAATAGGTATTGAATTCCTATGCCAATATTTTAGTCCTTCGATAATAGTTCATGGATAGATAGAGTACATTCGGGAAGAGTTTTCATGTAAGTATTTATTCACCGCATGGCAATTGGCATTGACTTGACCATAGTTTTTTGTTTGCTTCGGGAAGTCGTAATGCCAATCTCTATGTTTTGTGATTGCTATCAATTGGCATGAAATTTGACCCTCTTTAAATTGAGAACTACCATTTTTTCATTTGCAGATATGAAAAACACCCTAATGTACAATGGCAAAGAAAATCATTTTCTTCCATAGCAACACAGACATCAGAAACAAAAGAAAATGCAAAGAACTAAGTCAATTTGTAAAACTTTATTCTTCTTCGATGCTATCATCATAAATGTATAGATGAATATCGATTTTTTATGGAATATGTTTTGAAATTATCAATGAAAAGTGCTATTTTCGATTCGTTTCCAATCCTCGGGCAAAAATGTATTTGATATATAAAAATAGAACTGCGCGAAATTCTGAAATGTATAGCGCTGTTGTTATGGCCAAAAGTAAATAAATTCCGTTCAAATGAATTGTTCAACAATGCAAAGTTAAAATAAGAAACGGTTCAACGTACCTCATCCCATTTTACGAATTTTTCGCCATCTTGAAGAGCTTTCGACACTTCAACAGACCCAAATGATACGTATGTTCCAGTTGACATGGCATTGCTGGATGTGTTACGCGGGCTTTGCTGTGGATTTGTCGATGCAGGGGTTGAGGATGATGGTGATGCCTTGGTCGGTGTTTGATGCTGCGGTGATTGCTGTTCTGATTTGGTTGAAAGTGCTGATGTTGCCATTTTTGCGGCCTGACTTTTTTTTCTTATATTCTTAAATATATCACCACACTTTCTCGTTAATAATATATAACGAATCGTCAACTTGTTTAAATTTCAAACTACTTTTCACACAGCGAAGAGAACGAAATGGAGAGTGAAAGAACAAAATCGCTTCAGTGAACTGCTTGAATTTTTCCCGTTTACCCCGTTTACTACTGATTTTGTTGGATGTGTTTAATCAAAAATGAAACTTTATGTTTCTCAAGTTTCTTTTTTAACAAAGTGACAGTTTTTTCATTAATAGTAATTTATGTTTGAGACACTTTGTCTCAATCTTTTCCGTAAAACTCATTTAAAAATATATTCTCCTTGGTTCTGCCCAACTTTTCAGCTTTTCATCACGCATCTGTAAATATTAAATGAAAAAAATACAATTAAAAAAAGTTTCACTAGTTTCAATCACAATTTGCACCTTTACAATTAAATGAATTTAATTTTTGAAAAGTCAAATTCGTCACAATTCGAAAAAACAAATTTTCAAAAGAATCACGAATCCCATTTTGTCAACTTAATGTTGGCACCTTTTCTTCTTTCAAAGTCACACCACAAATAAAAACATTCTCAATGTGTTTTTCTTCGTTGCTATTTGAGTGAATTTAAACCACACTCTTCCAATAAGAACAAGTTCTTTGTTGATATTTACTTTTGTAATTGAGAGCTTGTAAAAAAAACAAATTGATTTTCATCATTTAAATTTGCTTTCCATAAAGCATTTTATAAAATCATAATGTAGAATTTTCCGTCTGAAGGATATTTGCCTCTGTCAGCATCATGGTTCTTTAAAATCCATTTTTGGATCTCCTTGTATTTGTTATGGCCGTCTATTTCCCTTCCAATCACTTTCAACATCTATTACGGTTTGTTTTCATTAACACTCGACGTAACACAAACATACTTTTAACTTGATTGATATTCGGCTATTGAGTGAGTGAAATTAAGTGCTGAATGAAGCACCAATCACATTTTCTTATTTTCCTTTCAGATGATGACGTAAATCATGAAAAGTTTGATAGTATTTTTCATCATATGATCGAGATTTTGACAATTTAAAACTCATTAAAAAAGTAATTCCCTCGTTTGATGAGTGAACTGAAGCTATATGTATGCTTCGAAGCAACGTTTATGTATAAAATTAAATTAATATATATCGTTGGAAAAGTTTATGTTGCTTCTGCACGATAAGATTCTCCAGTGTTTTCGTGCTTCAAAACACACAAAATGTTAAATGGATTCCATTATTCGCATACAATATTCGCAATATTGATAATTATGTGCTGATGTTATAATAAGCGTCACTTGTTTAAATATCATATGCGATTTTTCATTCGTTGCATCTGAACATAATGAATTTCAAGTGGGGTAGTAAATTTTTCAAGAAATAAAGACATGTCTATAACTGTTCCGGTGCCAAATGGGATTTCAATAAAGTCAAATCGCTTAAGTGTGTTTCAGCTGGGAATTGTGTGTTTATTACATTTTTTATGTATTTTTCAATCGAGTAATTTATTGTATTATTGTCCACTCCAAAGGAGTGCTACAAGTGATTGAATGATAACGAAAATAAAAACCGAGAAACAGCAACAATCGAAACGAAATAAATGTGTAATTTTTTTCTAATAAATGTTAAAAGTGAAATTTTTATGTTCGTTAAATATGTGAGGCTGTTAAGTTATTTGCGGATATTTATTGTGTTGGTATTAATGGTTGGAAGTAAGTTCGTATTGTGCGCTAGCTTTATTG